GGGCGCCGACTACAGCGTCATACAATTTAGCGATCTCTTCTTCAACTGCAAACGGTTATTGCCTGGTAATAAGGTAACTGCCTAGTTAAGTATCGAAGTCGAAGGGTGAAACTTGATAGTGTTGTAACGGTAACAGAGGCCGAGATTTCACCGCTTATTACATTTTGTGTAACTCCCAAAAGGAAGAACACGACAAGAAGAGCGCAGCAGCAGAAGTCTTTGGGCGTACTTTGTATAACATATTTAGGATAACAAACGCGTGTAAAACGATGTCCATCGAGCCAATCAGCTTCTATCTTGGCGTGAATAGTGGCACAATTGGCTGGTGATTCACGTCTGGCCGCAGCTTTAATTTTAAATTATTGATTGATTGACTGCCAGTATGCGTTCGCCCTGTGTAGGCCGATCAATAGCCTGCCGTGAGCACGGCTCGCGCTTGAAAGCCTGCTAACTGTCCGTTAGGCTCATCCTAACAGGTAGGTAAATAGACTAGGAGCTACTAGTCTTATATGTGTTTGCGTGGTGAGGGGGTAGGGGAGGGGGCAGATAGTTATCGCAGCAAGACGCTAGTTCCTCAGTCACACCCACGCAGATGGCTTTTTCACTAATTCGTTTCCTGTGCTGACTTCTTTCCAAAGTCATTTCCTTGCATGGTGCTGGGAATGCGCCCATTCCCATGATAACTCATTTTACAGAAAGGCCGCGAGTGCAGATCACGCCGCTGTCACGAGAGCGCGCCGTGACTATCGATTTTTCCTCACAGCTGATTGGCCCACTGACTTAGCTATGCGCCTCGTGTTTCCGCTTAAGTACATGCAGCCTTTGCGTGAGAATGACTTGCGCTGGCTTGCTGTAACGTGCTTGTGTCAGTAAACCCCCTCTCTCTGGCCAACCGGTCTTCTCTCTGTCTCACTCTTACGAGTTCTTTGGTTCGGCGTTCGACTTAATTAGCAGTACCGGGCGCGGGTCAAGACACATGGTAGCGTAGCCCATTCCTCCAGCATACCTTACGTATCCTATAAAAGTGAATATGCGAATTCCAGGAAGCAGTTCAGAAGTAGAAGATGTGATCGTCGGAACAAGGAATTTATATGTCCAACGTTTCGGATTCTGCCGAGAACCCTTCGTCAGAGGTAACCGTAGAATAGGATGATACATACACAGATAAGGGTGATATATGCACAGATTACGCAGCGTGTATGTCTCACACTAGTCTACGTTTACCTATGATTAAGGATTCTCAAGAGAATTCGAAACGTCAGGCAAATAAAATTCTTGTTTCAGCGAACGCCTCTTCTACTTCTGAACTGATTCCTGGAACTCACCTAGCCGCTTCTGTCGGCCATACCCCAAGTATTCGCATAAAATTAAGTCTGAAGTCTACATGCTAGTCGAATTTCACCATGGTTGTTCAGATAGCATCGCTCGCAGAACTGTTGTAAAACTGTGCTCCTTTTTCGTGCTCTTTGTCACTCAATCACGTATCCTAGACCTTATTTCTACCTCTCCGCCAGCAATATGATTATGGGGATGGCACTAGTTTTTTGAGGCCAGTGCTCATGCAAATATCCACTGCATGACACTTCCCTTTCTCTGTTATCGACCATCCAGCGCCTTGTTTTTGAGTTCTGCTCAATTATCACTGTTCTGCCAATACAAGCGAGCATGCGAGTCCCATGAAGTAATTGAGAAGAAGGCGAGTCGATCGCTGGGACAATAGGTTTATTCTCCCGGGGTTTCGACATCCG